GAGCTGCTCAGCAAACTGCGGCGGGTACAGCCCCCCCAGAACTGCACCCTGCAGCCCGGAGCTCCCCAGGGACACCCACCAGCCCCATCCCTTTGCTCAAGACTCCCCACCTCTCCAGCGACTCCAGCAGAGACTCCCCAAGTCTCCCCAGGACCCCCTGTCTCCTCCATGACCCCACTCTTTCCCCAGGGACACTCTGCCTATCCAGCCCTAGTTCCCCACATTGCCCTGATCCCCACTCAGGACCCCAATAGGGATCCCCAACCCTGCTCTCCAGACTTCCCACATCCTCAGTGGTCTGAGAAGGGACCCCCAATTCTCCCCAGAAGCCCCCATTGACTTGTTTTTTTCCCTGGGGACCCCCAGCTTATCCTTTTCCTCTGGGACTCGCTACTTATCCTTCCCTGTGGACCAGCATTAATGACCCCACTCTCTCTGATCCCCACTCAGGACCCCAAAGGGACCCCTATCCCTTCTCCCCAGACTGCTTCCCCCTCCCCAGTGACCCCAGCAGGGAGCCTCCAGCCCCTCTACATCCCCCACTATGCTCCTCATTCCTTCCAGGCATCTGACTTCTACGTGGAGATGAAGTGGGAGTTCACGAGCTGGGGTGAGTGTGGTCGGGCTGGGCGGGGGAAGGGGGGTCCCCAGGGGCCCCCCGGCCACGGGGCTGAGGGGTCCCTGTGCCCGCAGTGCCCCTGGTGTCCAAGGTGTGTCCCAGTGACGTGTACCGCGTGTGGAAGCGCGGCGAGAGCCTGCGGGTGGACACCACCCTGCTGGGCTTCGAGCACATGACGTGGCAGCGCGGCCGCCGCAGCTACATCTTCAAGGGGGAAGGTCAGCTCCACCCCCCCGCCGCCCCTCTGTCCCCTTGGGGAGCCCCCAGACCCCCTGCACCCCCCTGTAAGGCCCTGTCTGGATTCCCTGGGGGCCCTCCAGTCTTTGTGGGGAGCCACAGACTATAGCCCTGCACTATAAGTGCACCCCTGTAAAGACCCCAGACTCCCTATAGGGACTTCTCTGGAGAGCCCCCAGACCCTCTGCACTATTCATACTCCCATGAGGACCTCCCAGATCCCCTCTAGGGACCACGTGGGATTCCAGTTCCCCCCTCCCAAAGGGAACACCTCAATTCTTTTACACGGTAACAGGCACCCCCAATTCCCCAGATCTCCCCAAGGAAACCTCAGTTCCCCCTTCCTGAGGGAACCACCTCAGCTCCTACATGTGCGAGGAATGCCCCCCCATCCCCCCAGCCCCCCAGTGCCCCCCAGGCCTGGGGTTGTGATGGGGGGCTGACCCCTGCGGTGTCCCCACGCAGACGAGGGGGCCGTGGTGATGGAGGTGGACCACGACAAGCAGGTGGTGTACACGGAGACGCTGGCGCTGGCCCTGCACGAGCCCGAGCTGCTGCTGGCGGCCATGCAGCCCACCGAGGAGCACGTGGCCGGCCGGCTCACCTCACCCATCGTCTCCACACACCTGGACACCCGGAACATCGCCTTCGAGAGGTGGGGAAGGGAAGGGAAGGGAAGGGAAGGGAAGGGAAGGGAAGGGAAGGGAAGGGAAGGGAAGGGAAGGGAAGGGAAGGGAAGGGAAGGGAAGGGAAGGGAAGGGAAGGGAAGGGAAGGGAAGGGAAGGGAAGGGAAGGGAAGGGAAGGGAAGGGAAGGGAAGGGAAGGGAAGGGAAGGGAAGGGAAGGGAAGGGAAGGGAAGGGAAGGGAAGGGAAGGGAAGGGAAGGGAAGGGAAGCTCTCAGCAGGAAGGGGCCACGCGAGGGGGAAGCGCGAGCGAAGGGGAAGGAAGCGCTGGTGCAAGAGGGTGAGGCCCCCACTCCCCCAGGAACAAGTCTGGGATCTGGGGCTGGCGCTCGGAGAAGATGGAGGTGGTCAGCGGCTACGAGGCCAAGGTGAGCACGGAGACAGGGAGGGACTCTGGGGACAGCCTGGAGTGTGGCAGGCCTGACGGTGTCCCCACACAGGTGTACAGTGCCAGCAACGTGGAGCTGGTCACCAAGACCAGGACGGAGCATCTCTCTGACCAGGACAAGTCACGCAGCAAAGGTGACAGCCCTGTCAGCCAATCAGGGGACCTGTACTTGGTGGGGACACGCCACCCTTCTGGGTGGCACAGGTGTCAGGTGTGGGAAACTGGGGGAATAATGTGACAGGCATAGGACAGTGTGTAGTGTGCCACCCATGAGGGGTGTGACCGGTGACAGCCCTGAGGGTCCCTCCTCACACCTGACCCCGAGCCCCCTCTCCCCCCAGGCTCCAAGACCCCCTTCCACTCCTTCCTGGGCATTGCGCAGCAGCACGGCACCCACAACGGGGTGAGTGGCCATCCCAGGGGTCCCTGGGGAAGCTGGGGGTCTCCAGGGGGGCTGAGCGGTGCTGCTGTCCCCCCAGGCACCTGTCCTGCAGGCTGCCAGCCCCACCAACCCCACGGCCATCACCCCCGAGGAGTACTTCGACCCCCACTTTGACCTGGAGACCCGCAACATCGGGCGCCCCATCGAGATGTCCAGCAAGGTGCAGAGGTGAGGCCACCGCCCCAGGGCCAGGACACAGGGGACGGTGACGGAGTCCTTGGGGCTGTGCCTCTGTTGTCCGTACCTCGGGGGTGTTGCCAGGGCGGTGGCACTGGGGTGGTGCTGGTAGCCGGTGGCCCCGCCGGGTCCCCGTGACCACGGTGGTGCCCGGGCAGGTTCAAGGCGACGCTGTGGCTGTGCGAGCAGCACCCGCTGTCGCTGGCGGAGCAGGTGACGCCCATCATCGACCTCATGGCCATCTCCAACGCCCACTTCGCCAAACTGCGGGACTTCATCACCCTCAAGCTGCCCCCTGGCTTCCCCGTCAAGATCGGTGAGAGGGAAAGCTTCATTTGGGGTGGGATTAATAGGGGCAGGAGTTCATTGGGGCCTTGACTGATGGCTGTACCCGCAGAGATCCCCCTGTTCCACGTGCTCAACGCCCGCATCACCTTCAGCAACCTGTGCGGGTGTGACCAGCCCCTGGGCTCCGTGCGGATCTGTGCCCCTCAGGATCCCTCTGGCACCCACCCCCCTGGCACCCAGCCCTCCGGGCCCAGAGGTGAGCCTGGGGAGCCAGGGGGGTCCTGGGGCCAGGGGGTGCCGGGATTCCGTGGATATAGAATGGTGTGGGTGTGGGGTGGTGTGGGGTGTCGCAGGATGCCATGGGGAGCTGCGGGGTGGCGTGAGGTGCCATGGGCACAGCATGCCATGGAGGTGGCGTGCCGTGGGACACTGCGGGGTGCCACGGGGACACCCGAGGGCGCTGACAGCTCCCGTGCGTGGCAGCGTGGCCGTTCCCGTGCGAGGTGGAGGCGGGCGTGTTCGAGGTGCCCGCGGGGTACACGGTGCTGGGCGCGGGACGCAGCGAGCCCCTGCGCGACGAGGACGACGACCTGCTGCAGTTCGCCATCCAGCAGAGCCTGCTGGATGCTGGCACTGAGACCGACCAGGTGAGGCCACGTCCCCTCACCTGGACACGCCCCACACACACCTGGGCACGCCCCTAACGTGTGGCCACACCCCACAGGTGACCATCTGGGAGGCGCTGACCAACACGCGCCCCGGCGCGGAGCCGCCGCCCTACGATGAGGACCTGCAGCTGGAAAGGTGAGATTCCATCCGTGGGGGCGTGGCCTGGGGTGCCACACCCACCTCACCTGGGCAGGGCCAAACTGGGAGGGGCAGGGGTTAAAGGTGTCCGGGTGGGGTGGACGCAGGGGCCATGGGGTTAGAGAAGGTGCTAAAGGTGTCAGGGTGTGGCCAGGGGAGGGGCTGAAAGTGAGGAGCTTCTTGTTGCCCAAAGGGTGTGGCCATAATGGGCGTGGCTAACCGCAGGTGTGGGTGTGGCTAGCAGCTGGGCGGGGCATGTGGGGAGGGGCATGGCTCTGCAGGCCATTTAAGGGCTGTGCAGGAGGTGTGGCCAGCAGGGGTGGGGCACAGGTGTGGCAGAGGGGGCGTGGCTCCCATGACACGGGTGTGGCTCCCATGACACGGGTGTGGCTGCTGTCCCCTCCGCAGGGCGCTGCAGGAGAGCATGCTGCTGCAGGCCGGGCCCAGCACCGAGCCCCCGGCTGCCGGGAGCCCCCCAGGCGCGGGCGGCGGGAGCCCCCCCGGCCCCCCTGGTTACGGCAGCTTCGCGGAGCAGCTGCGCCTGGCCATGGCGCTGTCGGAGCGGGAGCAGGAGGAGCGGGAGCGGCGGCGGCGGGAGGAGGACGAAGAGCTCCAGCGCATCCTGCGCCTCTCCCTCACTGAGAAGTAGCGCCCCGGGGCGCTCCACGCCGGCACGGGGACATCCTGGGTGTCCCATGTGGGGTCACCCCACGCAGGGACGCAGATGTCCCGCGTGGGGACACCCCTGGCAGGGATAGGGACACCCCACCCAGGGGACACCCCAGTGCGGGTGCTATCCCACACCGGGGTGCCCCAGCGCAGGCACAGCCCTGCCTGGGGAGCAGCCGGTGCCGGGATGGCCCCCCCGTGATGGGGACCCCCCTGATGTGGGCACAGCCCCCATGCAGGGGATTTGATCCAGGGATCCTCCTACCCCCGGGACCCCCAATCCAGGGCTCTTCTCCCACCAGGCTCAAACCTCAGCCCAGGGACCCTCACCTGGGGACCACCCCTCCAGGAATACCCCTGTGCCCAGGACCCCTCCCTAGGGACCCCCCTCCTCTTTGGTGTTGTACTGTGACCCCATGGGGGGCAGGATGGACCCGGGGGTCCCCGTGGGATGCAGGTGACCCCTGTTTTAAGGCACTGCAGTGTGGGGGAGACTTCTGGGGGACCCCCAAGCCTCATCCTTTGGGGCAGTGGGGGGACAGGGGGGCCCCGAATGTCTGTACATATACATATACATATATATTATATATATATATATATACACATGTGTGTCTGTGCCTGGGGCGTGATGGGTGGGGTGTCCCAGGGGTGGAGCCTCGGAAAAGGGATGGATCCTGCAGGTAGGGTGGGGCTCAGGTGATGGGGCTCATCCAGTAAGCGAGTGGGTGGCACTAGTGGGCTGCTCCTCCTCAGCTCGCCCCAAATCTGGCCCAGTGCCCCCATTCCTGGCCCAGGGATTGGTTTATTTTGTTTATATTAGATGGGAAAAGACCCCTGCCCAGGGAGGGGAGCTTGGCTGAGGATCCCTGGGGATCACAAGGGGTTATTTGGGGGTGAGCTGATGGGGACACTTGGAGCATTCCCACCATTTAAACCTGGGGTGTCCCAGGTGCTGGGGTCCCTCGGGGGGTCCACAGTTTCTGGAGATCCGGGGAAGGCATCACCCATTCTGGGCGCCTGGGGGAGGCTCCCAAGAGCCAGGGACCCTCGGGTGCTTCCCACTTTCGGAGGATCTGGGGGTGTCTCAAGTGCTGGAGTGTCAATCCTGCCTTGTCCACACCGATGTGGGACCCGGGGGGTTCCGGGGCACCAGGGAGGTGCCGCTCTGAGCACGGGCGCTCCGGGGGTCCCGACCGCGGCGTTCCCGTGGCGGGGGGAGCCGTGCCGTGCCGGGCCGTGCCCGGGGCCGTGCCCGCTCCCGCTGCCTTTCCCGTTCCCGTCCGGGCGGGGCAGCGGCGGCGCTTCCTGGTGCGGGGGGGCGGCGCGGCGGGGCATGGCGCTGGTGACGGTGCGGCGGGCGGGGGGCTCCGCCGGGGGCCCCGCGGTGAGTGCGGCACCGGGGCGGGCGGGGACGGGGCATCCCGGCGGGGAGTCACGGGGGGCGGGCGGGGGGTCCCGGAGCCCCGGGATGTCCCGGTGCGGGCTGGCACGGCGGCTCCCGGGGGAGTACGGGCTGTCCCGGAGCCCCGGGAGCCCCGGTGCGGGGGCACCGGGCGGGTTGGGGCGTCCCGGAGCTCCCGCGGGTCCCGGTGCCGTGGGGAAATGGGTGGTGCGGGGGATCCCGGTGTGGGGCTGCGCGGGGTCTCTCGGTGCCCGGGGGTTCCCGGTGCTGCGGAAGGTCCCAGTGAGGAAGGTCCCGCCGTCCCGGGGCTGCCAGCGCGGAGGTGGAGGGGTGAAGGTTGCTCCGGTCGCTGCCGGTGCGGGGTCATCCCAGGCGCTTCCGACGGGACTTTACTGGGAGTTTGCTGGGAGCAGAGGTGCCCTCAGACGCGTTGGAGTTTCCTGTACTCCCGGCTGGGGCTTCCCCACAGCTCAGGGAGGAACATGGGGGTGTGGATGGGGGTGTTTGACCCTGGTTGCTCCCATTCACTTTGCCACGCTCTCCCGGTCCCTTGGCTGTCCCTGTGTCATCCAGTGCTGACCCCCACACTCCCCCAGTAACCACTGGGCCTTTCTGGGGGTTCATCCCAGGCCTCCCCTTCCAGCGCTTTCACCCTGCCAGGGATTGGGGGCACAGGGACAGGACACCCCCACTGCCATCTCGAGGGGGTTCCCCAGGGATCCATCTCCACAGTGGGACCCCCAGAAGGTCCCCATGTCCCCCGTTGGGCCCACACTATTCAGTGGGGGCAGGGGTGGGCTTAGGAGGTCACTGGACTGTGGTGTCCGTGCTGGTGGGAGGTTGTGGGACCCCCGAGCCTGGTCCACACCCTGGGGTCACACTTCCCCCAGGAACTGCCTCCCAATTTGCAGGAGGAAGATGCTCCCAGACGTGGCCAACTGCAGCGACGGTGAGAGGGGGCTCCAAAACCTCGGGGTGGGATGGAGACTCAATTTCACCCCTTTGGGGGAGCACTCTGGGGGTGCCCTGGGTGCTCAGGACCCCCCTTCACCCCAGGCAAAGCTTTGTCATGGTCAAGGGGGCGGCGCGGCTCCTGCCTGCCGAGGAGCCCCCCCCGGCCGAGCCCCCCCCGGCCGAGCCCCCCTGCCAGGCCCCGGGACAGCAGGAGCAGCACCTGCACCTCATGATGCAGCTGCTGCGCCCCCAGGACGCCATCCGGCTGGTAGGACATGGATCCCCCTGCAGGAACGTGGGGATGGCATGGGGACAGGGAAAGAGATGGATGGGTCAGGAGCGGGACCAGGATGGGGATGGGATGTGGATGGGGACGAGGTGGGGAGAGAAAATGGACAGGGTGGGATGGATGGGCTGGGCTGGGGATGGGGATGGGATGGAATGAAGGTGGGGACAGGATGGGGATAGTATAGGACAGAACAGGATTGGGATGGAAACAGGAACATGGAGGGAATGCAATAGGGATGGGATGGGGACAGGATAGGATGGGATGGAGATAGAGATGGAATGGGAAGTGATGAGGAGGGGACACGGCCCAGCCTGATGCTCCTCCCGGTCACTGGGAGCACTGGGAAGGGGCAGATCCCCCCTGCAATGCCCGCCGTCCCGGCAGGCGGTGCGGCTGGAGTCGGCGCGGCCGCGGCGGGTGCGGTACCTGCTGCTGGTGCGGCCGGAGGAGGCGGGAGCCGAGGCCGAGACGGCGCTGCTGGGAGTGGATTTCACCCACGAGGGGTGAGCGGGGTGCGGGGGGGGCCCGGGGAGGCGTCGGCACCCCCTGACCTCTGCCTGCCCCAGGGCCACCCGCTGCACCCTGGGCATGGTGCTGCCCCTCTGGAGCGACACCCAGGTGTTCCTCGACGGCGACGGGTAAGGGTGGGACAGAATTTTGGCACAGGGAGGGGCTTAGGGGGGATGGGGTGCCCACCCTGACCCACGTGTGTGCCCGTGATGCCCAGGGGGTTCAGCGTGACATCGGGGGGACAGACACGCATCTTCAAGCCCATCTCTGTGCAGACCATGTGGTGAGCGAGGCCTGGGCGTGACCACGGGGGGCACGGTGGGGACCACCCTGGGCATGAGGGGGTGTGGGTGGCATGGTGAGCACAAGGGGGGTGGGCACCACCTCAGGGACTGGGGACACGAGCACGGCCAGGAGCACAGGGGATCTCAACTGCACAGCAGACACGGGGGATGTGGCACTGCTGGGGACACAAGGGATGCCATCACCATCCTGAGCATGGGGATGTGGGCACCACACTGGACACAGGGATTTGGGTATCACCATGGGCAGCACCACGGGCACCTGGGCACAGCCACGGGGAAGGAGCTGGGGAGGGCTTGGGTGACACCCACACGCTGGGGACAGCCAGTGAGGGGGACACGGCTGTCGGGGCGGTGCCGGGGCGCGGTGGCAGTGCAGCGGTGGCAGGTGCTGTGCGGCAGGGCCGTGCTGCAGGAGCTGCACCTCGCCTGCGAGGACGCAGCCCGCGGCGGGCACATCCCCGGCGGCCCCGCGCTGGCCTGGGCCCGTGGCTACGCAGCGGCGCTGGGCTCGGAGCAGAGCTGCCTCAACGAGTGGCTGGCCATGGCCGACCTCGAGTCCGTGCGCCCCGCCTCGCCCACGCCCCTCCGGTAAGGTCCCTGCGGCGCCCCTGCCACACCCCGCTCTGCTGGCCAATCGCTGCCGCGCCTGGCAGGGCGTGGCCGGGGTGGGGCAGGGGACACCAGTGACAAGGCGGTGCCGGTGCCAGGCCAGCCACGCCGGAGCTGTCGGAGCAGGCGGTGCGGGCGCTGCTGCGGGAGGTGATGGCCACCGCCGACCTGGAGAATGTCACATCCAAGGAGGTGGGTGGCACCTGGGTGGCAGCGTGTCCTGGGGACCGGACAGGCTGGGCAGGGCCGTCCCTCACCCAGGGTGACACCCAGGTGCGGGAGGAGCTGGAGCGGCGCACGGGGCACAGCCTGGCCGAGCACAAGGATTTCATCGACAACGAGATGCTGCTGGTGCTGGCGCAGATGGATCGGCCTTCCCGTGTCTTCCCGCACCTCTTCCTGGTGGGCAGCAGTGCGGGCACAATGGGCAGGGCTGGTGGCAGTGTCCCCTCCCCTCACTGCTGTCACCACACAGGGCTCCGAGTGGAACGCAGCCAACCTGGAGGAGCTGCAGCAGAATAGGTGAGCATGGGGTGGCAGCATTGCGGGGTGGCATGGGGTCACCACGGGCTGCTGCTGCAGCGTCACTCATATCACCACAGGGTCACCCACATCCTGAACGTGGCGCGGGAGATCGACAACTTCTTCCCGGCGCTGTTCACGTACATGAACGTGCGGGTGTACGATGAGGAGGCGGCTGAGCTCCTGCCCCACTGGAACGACACTTTCCTCTTCCTCTCCCGCGTCCGGTCAGCGGGCACAGGGGGTGACACCATGGGGGACATGGGGGGCACAGGGGCTGGAGGTGTGGCAGGGGAGAGGGGGACATGGGGAGGGGTCCTGATGACTGAGGTGCTGGGGTGCACTGGGAGCTGGAGAGTGCTGGGGCATGGATCCCAGGGAGCAGTGGGGTGGCTGGGGACGTGAAGACCTCTGGGGACACTGGGATGGCTGGAGGATGCTGGCAGCCCTGGGGATACTGGGACGGCTGGGGGACACTGGGAGCCCTGTGGACACAGTGTCCCTGGTGACTCTGGGGTGGCTGGGCGACACTGGGAGCCCTGTGGACACGGTGTCCCTGGTGACTCTGGGGTGGCTGGGCGACACTGGGAGCCCTGTGGACATGGTGTCCCTGGTGACTCCGGGGTGGCTGGGGGACACTGGGAGCTCTGTCCCCAAGTTGCCTGTGCCATGGTGCCAGCGGTGGGTGCCACAGGGCAGCGGGAGGCCGGGCGCTGGTGCACTGCCGGATGGGGCTGAGCCGCTCGGCCGCCACGGTGCTGGCCTACGCCATGAAGGAGTTCGGCTGGCCCCTGGAGCGGGCGCTGCGGCACGTCCAGCACTGCCGGCCCGGCGTCCTGCCCAACCCCGGCTTCATGCGCCAGCTCGACTTCTACCAGGGCATCCTGAGCGCCAGGTGGGTGAGGACAGGTGGGTGGGGACACATGGGTGGGTCTGGAATAACCACACCCCTATGGATAAGAGGGTGGGGCCTGTTGGGACCACTTTGCAGGGAGTGGGTAGGGCTTCTGGGGCCGTGTCCTACCTGGAAAGGTGTGGGAAATTTTGTGGGGGAGGATCCCAGGGGAACTCCACCCTGGCGAGTGGGTGTGGCTCCCAGCAGGGGGAGTGGCCGGGTGCTGATTGACAGGTCTGTGGCAGCCGGCACAGCAGCCTGTGGGAGCCCCGGGCGGCCGAGCAGACACCGCACCCCGAAGAGGACACCGTGAGGGACACAAGTGGCCTGTCCCCGCTGTCCTCCCCGCTGGCGTCCCCGCAGCCCTCCGAGGAGGAGGCAGCCGGTGGGGGTCTGCTGGGGGCCTCCCGGCGCCCCCGCATCTCCCTGTGCTCTGTCATGCGGAGCATCAGCCTGCTGGAGAACCCCGAGCCCCCCGAGCAGCTGGGGGAGCCCCTGGCCGAGGAGGTGAGCAGGGGTCAGGGCGGGATGGGGGGGTTCAGCTGTGGGGTGACAGCAGCATTGGATGACCCCGCTGTCCCCCCTCAGGTGTTTGAGGCCACGGAGGAAGCAGAGTGTCCCTCCCCGAGGTCACGACCCTCGTCTCGCCCGCGCCGGGTGGTGCGCCAGGCCAGCCTGGATGGTGTCCCCGGCCCGTTTTGTGACCACACCCACAGCGATGGCCACACCCAGTGCCACACCCATGCGCCTGGCCACGCCCACACGGATGAACCCACTCCCTAATTTGGGAGCGATGGGACGGCGCCTCCTCACTGACACAGCCACAAGGCGAGGGGCGTGGCCCGCGCCTGGGGGCGTGGCCAGCGAGCCGGCACGCCCCGCCCACACCCCGGGGCTGGGAGGTGCCTCAGCCCCACACGCACCAACACCGACACCGCTCCTGCACTGGCAATAAAGTGTGGAAATGGCAGCCCCTGATGGCTTTGTGACCCTGAGCATTTGGAGGGTGGGCTGCTGTCAATAGGGACCCGAGTGAACGCCTTGGGGGCACCGGGCGGGCACAGGGACCCAGCGGCGCCATCTTGTGCGCCACGGAGAAAACGACAACTCCCGGCGGCCTTTGCGCGAGAAGACCAACTTCCGGGTTTCCATGGCAACCGCCGCGGCCTAGGCATGGAGGGGAATCCGGGCTGGAATTGGTGCTGGAAGCGGGACCGGGGCGGCAGCGGAGGAGTGAAGCACACAGAGAGCCCGCAGTTCGCTGTGGCCATGGTGGAGGGGAAAGCTGGGTGCTCTTCCTGTCACCCCATGAGATGGCGTCAACTCCCTCCCACCATGGCGTCCCTTCATGTTCTGTCATCCCTGACCCACAGGACACCTTCCGCTAGCCCAGGTTGCTTCAAGCCTCATCCATCCAGGCGTTGGACACTTCCGAGGCTGGGGCAGCCACAGATTCTCTGGGCAATTTGTGCCACAGCCTCACCACCCTCACAGGGAGGAATTTCTTCCCAAAATCCCACCTAAACCCACTCTCCCAGGGAAGGAGGTTCCTGGCTGGAACTGCCCCTGAGGCTGCTGCTCTCCATCTCCATCTCCATCTCCTTGGGCTGTTCCTGCGGCTGGAACCACCCCAGACGCTTCCCTCTTTCCTGGGCCACCCACCAGGTTGGGACTGACCCTCTGCCAAGGAAGGAGCATGGGAATCTCCCTCCTCCTTCCCACCAGGAGGGCACAACCCTGGGTTGGCTGGGTGTAGGATGCTTAATTTTTGGAGGTCCACCCAAACACCTCCATCCTGTGCCCAGCAGAGGAATTATGTCCTGTCTGCAGAAGATATCCAAGGGACTGCAGCTCCAACAGCAGGACCAGATCCAGCTGGATAATGCAATCCAGAGGGTTGGGAGCCTGCAGTGTGAGTGGGATGGGAGCTGTGGGTAGCTCCCACCCATCCCAGCCCATCCCACCCCATCCCACCCCATCCCACCTTATCCCAGGTCATTGCTGGCTCCAATGCTGCACTGAAGCCAAAACTCTACCTCTATACTAATTCACAAATAGTAACCACTACTCTGTGAGGATAGCTAGAAAAAATTAAAAAGGCTAATTAGCAGCATAAAAAAAAAAATTAGACTGCTAAAAATGAAAAAGACATCACTACCAAGATAAAACGACTATCTATAAAAGTCCACCATATAAATACCCATATCCCCAAAATTAAAGTTAATAAAAAGCACCAAAACAATCAACAAAAAATAATTAAATATATTCTAGTGGGTAAACTGGCATTTAATGAATATAGACCCACCACAGATAGAAACAATTTATTTTATTGATAAAACAACAGAAAGAGCTGGTTAATTAAGTCATCGATAACCTGAATAATTAACAGACACATCCTGTTATTTATGATTCTGCACACAGCAAAGCTGCTCATTCGGGCTAGTAAACATATAATCCCACAGGACACTGTCACCCTTCCCACCCCGCTGCAGGGCATCCCCACCATCCACAGCCACCTGCCTCAGCCCCTGTGCTCACTTTCACCTGATTTTATACCTCATTCTTCATTTTTTCACCCCATTCCAAGGGGAAAAAAATCCCACCTCCCTTTCTCCACCCAAGAACACATTTTTCTCCCTGAGTCCCAGTTGGGTGGAATTAAACTGTGTGACCGGACCCCCATCCGTCTTTTTTAGGGGGAGATGCAACTCCCTGCCCTCCCCCTGCACGCCAAGGGCTTCACCCCACCCCGTGTCCCCCAGGCAGCACACGGCACGCTTTCCTTCGCTCACACCAGCTTTAATCCACTTGGCATCCCTGGAATGGGTCTGGGGGCGTCGGGAATGGTTCCCCGCTCCCTCGGCGCGGTGCCTCAGAGCTCGTACTCGTGCCAGAGGCTGCGGGGGCACAACGGGGTCAGTGGGAAGGGTGGGGGGCACCGGGAGGGGTTGCCCTGTACCCCCCAACCACCATCCCATCCCATCCCATCCCATCCCATCCCATCCCATCCCACCCCATCCCACACCCACCTGTAGGTGACATCGGGGTTGTCCCGGTGCTCCAGGAGGGCATCACGGATGAGGCCGGGGGGGCTCAGCCCCAGCTCTTGTGCCCGCTCCCAGCGCTGCAGGCGGGTGATCCCTGTGGGATACCGGGGGCTCAGCCGGGCCGGGTGGAGCCCGGGGCCACCGGGATAACCGGGGGAACCGGGGGTGCTCACCGGTGCAGGGTCCGTATTCCCAGGAGAGGTCGAAGCGCCGCAGCATCTCCATGAGCGCCGGGTCCGGAGGGGGCTGCGAGGGGGCGCGGGGACAGTCCCGCACCTTCAGCTGCACCTCGTCCTTGTCCTTGTCCTTGTCCTTCTTGTTCTTGAGCCTGCCCGGGGGCCGCCCCGGGCCCCGCCGCCGCCGCCGCGGGAAGGAGTCGGTGATGCGCCGGGGCTGCTCCATGGCCCTGCGCGACATGGAGCTGGCACGGCTCCGCCAATACCGGGAACCGGGCGGGACCCGCCAATACCGGGAACCAGCCGGAGGGACCCGCCCCTGCCCATGGCCGGGCGGAAGCGGCGGGGCCGGGCCGGGGAACCGGACATGGGCACCCTCGGCCGCTGCCACCCTCTCGATGGTCCAGGTCCCCCGCCACCTTCGGCACCCGCCGGCTGTCCCCGGGTGCTGTCACCCCCCGTGTTGTCCCTGCCAACAGCCGCACTGTCACCCCCGCGGCAGTCCCTGGCACCCGGAGGGTACTGTCACCTCCATCCCAGTGTTCCCTGTTCCCCTGGCACTGTCACCCGTGTCAGTGACTGTCACCCCAGGCACTGCCATACCCCAGCTGTGCCCACTATCCTCTGGTATTGTCACCCCTGTCACCACCATCACCTCCGGCACTGTCACCTCTGTGGTTTCTCCCTGTCCCCCTGGACAATGTCACCCCCATCACAGCACTTCTCCATCACTGTTACCCCCCTGTCTGTCCCCATCCACCCCCCAAACTACAACTCACGCTGTGACACTGTCACCCTCTGCCCTGTCCCACTCTGTCCTGTGAGGGGGTAACACTGCAGGTGCCACCAGTGCAGATTTGCCTGCGGCTTTCAGCCCTCCCTTGGGGAACTGAGAATAACCAAAATGCGTGCCCTGGAACGGGGTGGCTCCCAGGGGACCCAGCTGTGTGCCTCAGCGGTGACACGTGAGCCACCGAGCCGTGTCACCGCTGTAACGCTCAGCGCTGGGGGTCACAAAACCCCACAGCAGCCATCAGAGACTCCACATGGCTGTTTAATGTGAGGCTGGCACAGAGAGGGGAGCGCAGGCCGTCCCTCAGGGCCCGTCCCTGTGCAGGCCGGGATTGTGCAGGATGTAGCGGCAGAGCCCGGGCAGGCGCCGGTGGCCCAGCAGCTCCTGCAGCCGCTGCATGGGCCGGTTCCCCAGCGCCGTGTGCCCGAAGGTGGGGAACCCGCGGGCGTGCGCCCGCTGTGCCGCCAGCGTCAGTGCCACCTGCATGTGGCCGCGCCGCCGGTGCTCGGGCAGGGTGTAGCTGTGGGTGCCCGTCCCGAAATGATCCGTCAGCACCCAGGAGACGGGCTGCCCGGTGCCATCCTGCAGGCAGACTTGCGGGAAGCGCCCCAAAATCTCAGCCAGGAAGCGCCGGCTGCGGGCGTTCCCCCCATAGGGCCACGTCTGGTTGAGCAGGTCCACGTGCGACGGGCTCAGGGAGCCCACGCGCACCCCGGGGGCTGGCCTGGGCGAGGCAGGGGTCAGTGGGGGGCTCAGGGGTGTCCCCGTGTGGGGGTGAGGGTGGGGGGCTCTCACCGGGGCTCAGGCATGGTGCTGGGGTCAGGATGCCAGTAGGAGTAGTACTCGACAATGTCCAGCTCCACACCCTTCCTCCCCGCCAGGTCCTGGGACACCGTGGCCAGCCCGTCCTGTAGCCCTGGGGAAGGGGATGTCAGGGGGTTCTGTTCCCCCTGTACCCCACCATCTCTGTCCCCAGCCCCTCTATGTGACCCCAGTGTCCTCCTCAATGTTGCCCACCTGCAACCCCAGCCTCTATTCCCAGCACCCAAATCCTTGCTTCCACTGTGCCCAGTACCCCAATCCTGCTCCCAGCATGCCCAAGGGAAAGCACCAGTGCATTCCCTGGTGCTCCCCAGCACCCCTAAATCCCACCCCAACACTTCCCACTGGTATCACCCATCAAACCCCACCTCAGCACACCAAATCAGGCCTCCAGTGCTCCCCAGCACCCAAACACCCATCCCCAGTGTCCCCCAGCACCCCCAATTCCCTCCACCAGTAGCTCCCAGTTTCTCCCTGCCTCCAACAGCTCTCCCCGATGTCCCACACTCCCAGTGCAGCCCAGAGCATGCCCAGTCCCTCCTCAGGCCCCCCCAGGACCCCGGTGTCCCCAGGCCACCGATGAGGGTGAAGGCAGCGTCCCAGGGCAGGCAGCCGGGGGTCT